AGTCTGTAATGAATGCAGTCTGTAGTGAATGCAGTCTGTAGTGAATGGAGTCTGTAGTGAATGCAGCCTGTAATGAATAGAGTTTGTAATGAATGGAATCTGTAATGAATGGAGTCTGTAGTGAATGGAGTCTGTAGTGAATACAGCCTGTAATAAATGCAGCCTGTATTGAATGCAGTGTGTAGTGAATGCAGCCTGTAATAAATGCAGCCTGTAGTGAATGTAGCCTGTTGTGAATGCAGTGTGTAGTGAATGCAGTGTGTAGCGAATGCAGCCTGTAAGTAATGCAGCCTGTAGTTAATCAGCCTGTTGTGAATGCAGCCTGTAATAAATGCAGCTTGTTGTGAATGCAGTGTGTAGTGAATGCAGCCTGTTGTGAATGCAGCCTGTGATAAATGCAGCCTGTTGTGAATGCAGCCTGTGATAAATGCAGCCTGTTGTGAATGCAGCATGTAATAAGTGCAGCCTGTAGTGAATGCAACCTGTAATTAATGCAGCCTATAGTGAATACAGCCTGTAGTGAATGCGGTCTGTAATGAATGCACTCTGTAGTAAAAACAGCTTGTCGTGAATGGAGTCTGTAGTGAATGGAGTCCATAGTGAATAGAGTCTGTAGATATGAATGGAACATGCGTATTGATTAGAGCCTTTTTTGATTAGAATCGACATTAACAAATGAAGTAATTGTTGTGGATATTGTGAATCCGGTCATGACCAGCTTGTGTTACTGGTGCTTTGTCACCATCCTCTTTCCTCGACGTGGTATAGCTGTCTACCTGGTTTACACTGGGAGAGGAAAACCACGAATAAATATCAACAAGGACAGACTCTTGTATTAAACAGACTGGAGTAGGTTATTGTATGATAGCATTCAGGAGCAAGGTCCATCCGTCAGTAAGACATTGTCACTGAGACTATGAGGAGAGTGAGGGTCCCAGGCCTGTCCTCTCTGTCTAATCCCAATAGCCTGGAAGGTTGAATATGAATTGCAGTGTTCAGTGTAACCCCCAGGGGTCAGTGTAACCCACACGGTTCAGTGTAAGCGGCTGGCCTGACTGTATCTTGCAGTTAGAGTACTTGACCTCAAGGGGGTGCAGTAAGGCCATGGCTGTTGCAGTGCCTTTTGAGTGGGGCTGGGTTAGGGTTAAGGTTTGTAGACGTGTTCCTTTTTAACTGTTCAGCAGCTGACCTAAAACCTCAGCTCCTTCCGAAGTTCCTGAATGAATTATTCTCTCCTGTTTAATGTGGGCCAAATGCTGTATTTAACAAACCACTGTGGTTGGAGTACAGAGCAAGTGAGCAGACTGAATGCTGTGTTGAATTTTGCAGCTACTTCGATGTTTAATGTTACAAATCCTTGGAAACAAACTAAAATATACACAGGTTAGCTTCTGACTTTTGTTTTTGATAAAAATGACACCATCGTATCGCACAAGAACAGTGGAAGGCCATTCAGCCCAGCTTGTCTCACTATCCCAACACACTTTTCCTTTATGTATACTGGTCAAATTCATTTTTGACTATTTAAGCTGAACGTGCCTCCCCCACACTCTCAGACAGTACATTCCAGACCCTAACCTCTCATTATTGTGACAAAGTTCTCCCACACATCACTTCTGCATCTTTCGCTGATTACTTTAGATCAATGCTGGCTCCATCTCCATCCTTTAGCAGGTGGGAAGTGTTTCTCCCTGCCTGTTCTGTCCAGACCTTCACAATGTCGAATAACTCCATCAAATCTGCTCTTGGCTTCCTCTTCTGTAAGGGGAACTGTCCTAACTTCTCTAATCTATCTTCATATCTGAAGCTCCTCATCTCTGGAGCCGTATTCCTGAATTTGTTCTGCATTGTCTTCACATCCTTCCCAAAGTGCACAGCACATAACTACAGCCACACTTCCCTATATATATATATAATGTATATTTGTATATATATGTCCTAGCAAGTGAGATTGGGATAGATAGCTCTCACTGGGTCAGTTAGCACCATATTCACTGGAGTTTTGAAAAATTAGTGGGGGTTCTCATAGAAACTCACAAAAATGTAACAGGGCTAGACAGGGTAAATGCAAGGTGTCTGCATGTCCCTGATCATCAGGGAGTCCCGAGCCAGGGCTCACAGTCTAAGGATACAGGGTAGGCTTTTTAGGACTGAGATGAGGAGGAATGTCTTCACCCAGAGAGTGGTGAGCCTGCGGTATTTACTGCCACAGAAAGCGGCTGAGGCGAAAACATTGAATGTTTTTAAGAAGGAGGTGTGTCTAGTCCCTAAGGCTAAAGGAACAAAGGGTATGGGGGTGAAAGTGGGAGCTGAGTTGGATGGTCAGCCGCGATCCTGTTGAATGGAGGAGCAGGCTCGAAGGGCCGAATGGCCTGCTCCTACTTTTCATTTTTTTCCATCTAAATCCGACCTCATTGTTCCTTTGGACTCAGAACTATCCTTCCCCATCAGACTGGATCATGAAGAAATTGACCTTAATCTGCTCCCCCATCACCCCCCACTCTGGGACAGCCTTGCCATCTCTATGGAGATGGTGGGTGGGAATTGGAAGTCACTTGTTTTCTAACCCTAACAGCAACATTGGGACAAGCAGTCCCAATGACCCTGTAAGTCCCAGAGGGTTATCTAGGATGGGGGCTGAAATGACTGAATGCAGGGGAAGGGGGTCCTTGCAGAAAGCACATTGGTGGGCATGAACCTAACTCATGGATAGAAAGAGAAGGTGCTGGAGAAGTGAAGAAATGAGCTAAATGAATCCTCGCCCTTAGGTTGTCGGAGAGGGGATACCCTGTAAGTAAATGCTCTGCTATAAATTAATAAACTGCCAGAAACCAGTGCTGGGGAAATCCTTCTCATGTGATGCCTTGGAAAGGTTAGAAATTCAGCAGAGTGGGAATCTTATGGGAAATCCCTCAGAAATCCCTTCAACAGCCACTGCCTTCCTATTGTGTCAATCTGAGAGCAGTGGGAGGGGATTCAATGACCACAAATAAACCCTGTAACATTAATAACACTCCGAGGAATTCCTTGGTAATCTCCCTGCACTGTTCTACTGTGCGGTTTGATCACACAGAGTGCTGGGTGCAATGTCGTACCTCCTCTTGGACTGTGTCAGCAGTCTTCAAAAGATTCTGCGAAGTAATTTGCAGAGAGGCTCAGCAAGATTCTGGCAGTGGCCAGCTCTCCAGGGAACAGGGAGATCAGGCAGAATGGCCTGGTGCTAGTCCAGGCCCCTCCTCACACTCACACGTCCCTGACATTCAGCCCAGACCTTTTGAATCAAACCAACTCACTCTATCTGTCAGATCGTGACAATCTCAGAGGGACTTCCCAACCTCCAAGATCATGCTTTAACCAGGCGGAGGCAGCAGTGAGACCAATTTCCTGGGGATTGAACAAAACTATTTGGGGCAGCATGGTGGCACATTGGTTAGCACTGCTGCCTCACAGCACCAGGGACCCAGGTTTGATTCCACCCTGGGGCGACTGTCTGTGTGGGTTTCCTCCCACAGTCCAAAGATGTGCAGGTTAGGGTGGATTGGCCATGCTAAATTGCCCCATAGTGTCCAGGGATGTGTAGATTAGGTGAATGGGTTTGGGTGGGATGCTCTGAGGGTCAGTGTGGACTTGTTGGGCCAAAGGGCCTGTTTCCACACTGTAGGGATTCTATGAGGAAAACACCTGAAGCCAAGATCCATCAACCCCCCTCTCCCTATTCCAAAGAAAATCCTAATGTTCTCTGTCCCCCTCCATTGCTGTCCTTTCTCTTTAGAAGTTAGCGATCTTAATTAGCTGTTCTGAAGAAGTCACATTAGACTCGAGACATTAACTCTCTCTGCTGTCACTGATGTTTCTCCAGCTTTCCCTGTTTCTCTTTGTCCTCTCTCTCCTCACCCCCCCATCCTCCTTTCCCCTCTGTCTATTGACTCTCTCTCTCTCTCTCTGCTCCACATTTCCTGCTTTTTCCTTTCTTCCCTCATATCCTCTTTCTAACCCCTTGCAGTCTATTCCTTTCCCCTCTCTGATCCCCTTTTCTATTGTTATATCCACTGACTCCTCTCTCTGCCTCCTCTTTTTTTGGTTCCTCTATTTGCCATCTCTCCCTCTGTCTTTGACCGGGGCTGTACATCTCTGTGTTACATTCTCTCTCCCTCCCTCTGCTCCCCCTCTCTCCTTCTGTTTCCATCTCTCTCTCTCTCCCCTCCTGATTCTGAACTCTCTGTCTCTATCACCTTGTCATCTCCCCATTTATATTCTCTCCAATTCATCACCTTCCCCCTCTTACAACCCCTCTTCCTCTCCTGTTCTCCACTTTATCTTCCATATTTTATTCTTTCTCTTTTCATCCTCATTTTTCTTCTCCTTCCTTTTAACTCCATTTCTCCTTTGTCTTTCTGTCTCTTCTGTCTTTTTCCGTACTCCTCCTCTCTCACTCTCTTGTACTGATTCTTGCTCTCCCATCTGTTTCTGTCCTTTATCTGCATTCTCTTTCTCTCTCTGGTTCCTTTCTCTCCTGCTTCTCCCCCCACTTCTTTTTCTTCAATCTCTTCTTTATTTTTCTCCTCCTCTCTGTCTCCCATTCCTTCCCCGTCCCTTTCATTTCTTGCTGTTTCCCACCATTTTACAACCATCCTGTCCCCTCTCTCTTTCTCTGCCCCTCCTTACCTGCTCTGTCTCCCTCACATTTCTTGACTTCGCCTCTCCTGTCTCTTCCCCTCCCACATCCAACGTGTTGTCTCTACCTCTCTACCAGATACCCTCGCATGTCTTTTTATTCCTCTCTATAGCTCGTCCTTTGTCAGTGACCTTTACTGCGTTCCTTTTGGAATGAATGCAGTTTTTGCATCTGGACTTGGGACGGGGTTAGCGGTGGTGGTGAGATGCTGCTTTGTTTCCTGTAACAAATGCAGACCCCTACATTTCGCTGTAGCTGGGTCTCACTGCAGTAAGTGTAATACGGTGCTGTTTAATTCCCAACCCACAAGTAGTTCAAAAGTAGGATAAAAAACGCACCCTGGATATACTTTTCTCTCCCACCCCCCCTTCTTGCTCACCTTATGTGTGTGTGTGTGTGTGTGTGTGTGTGTGTTTGTGTGTGTGTGTTCTTTTTTAAAATCCCTCCATCCTCAGTGGGTAATTTCTCTAGTTATCACATCCAGTTCTCTCTCTCTCCTCACTCGTAGCAGACTGCATCCCCTCTATCTCTCCTTGAACCTATTCCACCCACCCCTTTTCTCCCTCTCTCTCCCTCTAATCTTCCTCCTGTCTCTCACTCTGCTCCTATCCCTATCATTTATTCCTGTTTCCTCCCTCCCAATGCCACCTCCCTCTCTTTTTGCGACACACTTTGCTGACTCTCTGTTTTGACTCTTCCCCCTCCTGAAAGTTGTGCTGACCTTACCTGCTTGTTTTCGGGGAAGTGCTGTCGAACTTGGAGGGTCTCCCTCCACTGCTGGCGCTGTCTGCTTTCCCTGTCTCTCACAAGAGCCAGTACGTTCACCCCGGGTCGAGTAACATTCCCAAGTGCTGCTCTAATGCCCGCACAGCCGTGTCTCAGTCCATGTGCTTTCTGCAGGCTGCTAACTCCTATATAACCAGGGGAAATGGCTATTGTTTGCCAACCAACAGAGGGAGCTCATTGTGTGTGGAATCAATTTGTTTTTTAACAGTTTCCTTCACACACACACACACACACACACACACACTCCCCAGAACGCCCTCCCCCCCAGCTACCTTCTAAATCTTGCTGAGAGGAGCTCTATGATATTGATGGGTGCCTGTGAGTGATTCTATTGTAGGAGACTCTCAGAGAGTGTCAGTGTGACTGATTCCTCACATGGCTGGGTGCACAATGGGGCGTCTCACCACAGAGGCATCGGTTACGGGGACAGCAGAGGTAGTGAGAACGGAGGCTGGGTGCCATGGCAACCGGAGTGAGCCTTCCAAAAACTTCCCGCTCCACGGAGACGGGGTATCGTAAAAAACAGAGGCATCCTCAGTGCGCCAACGGCCAGAGATAATGCACAATCGCCGCCTGGGTCTCAAACCAGCCCACCACCACACCCCCCCCCACTCCAGCCGTCTGGGTGAATCGAGCAGGTTGTGGGTGGGGGAAGGTGCCTTTACTTCAGTTATCACTTTGTAGGAAAGAAAGAGAAGCTGCTTTCGGAACTCAGAAGGTGGGCTGAGGGTCCGGGAACGACAGAGCTGCAATACCCTCTGCATCAGGCCAGTCCAACACAGATTGGTCAAGGATTGACACCCCAGGGAGTAGAGAGTGGGACCAGGGTACGATCCGGCTCTTTCCAATAGGCAGCTCCTCTAGGCAGTGCCCAATAAAAACCGAAAGGACTGCGGACGCTGTAAATCAGAAACAAAACAAAAAGCAGAGGTTCTGAGGAAGGGTCACTCGACTCGAATCATCAAATTCTGACTTCTCTCCACGGACGCTGCCAGACCTGCTGGCCTTTACCGGCTATTTCTGGTTTTGCTATGGACCAATAAGAAACAGGCCTCAAGCCCTTACTGACCCTGCCCGACATGGAGCGGGTCCCAAACACAGAGCTGGTGTGCGACCAAGGCGCTAATTGTAATAGGAAATTGGAGTAGGCCATTCAGCCCTTTGAGCCTGTTCCACCATTCAATATGGTCATGGCTGATTCTCTATCTCAATGCCATTCTCCTGCCTTTCCCCCATACCCCTTGATGCCTTTAGCGTCCTGCAATCTTTCTAGATCTTTCTTTAAACATGCACCGTGACTTGGCCACCGCTACCTTCTATAGATGGATTAGCCATGCTAAATTGCCTGTAGTGTTCAGGGATGTGCAAATTAGGTGGGTTTGGGGAATGGGTCTGGGTGGGATTCTCTAAGGGTGGCATGGTGGCATGGTGGCTCAGTGGTTAGCACTGCTGCTTTACAGCGCCAGGGACCTGGGTTCGATTCCAACCTCAGGTGACAGTCTGTGTGGAGTTTGCACATTCTCCCCATGTCTGCGTGGGTTTCCTCCAGGTACTCCAGTTTCCTCCCACAGTCCAAAGGTGTACAGGGTAGGTGGATTGGCCATGCTAAATTGCCTGTAGTGTAGATCAGGGGATGGGTCTGGGTGGGATGCTCTGAGGATCAGTATGGACTTGTTGGGCTGAAGGGCCTGTTTCCACACTGTACAGATGCTATAATTAAAAAAAAATTCTACAGGTTGACCACACTTTGAGTGAAGACCTATCTTCTCATCTCAGTCCTCAATAGCCTCCCCTCAATCCTGAAACCATGGCTGCTAGTACAACCTTCCATCAAGGGGAATGATCATCCCTGCACCCAGTGTGTCCAACCCTGTCTGAATTTTATATGCTCCAACTTCAAGCAACTATGCTGAGAAAAGTAGAAGCAGGATGGAGCTCTGTGAGCTTCCTCTGCCATTCAATAATATTTGGTTGAAATTTTTCATCCTTTTCCTGTCTTATTTCCATATCCTTTCATTCACTTTATTCTGAAACTTTATTGATCTCTCCATTGCATATACCTCATTGGCTGAACATTCACAAGTGAGAAATAATTGCAAACATTCACTAAGTTCTGAGTAAAGAAAGTTCTCCTCATCTCAGTCCTACATAATTGACCCTATACCCTTGTCAAGACTGCTAATTCTGAAAACAAATTTGCTGGAAAAGCTCAGCAGGTCTGGCAGCATCTGTGGAGAGGAATCTGAGTTAACATTTCAGGTCCAGTGACCCTTCCTTAGAACTGATGGTAGTTAGGAAATTTTTTTTTTGCAGAAGATAGGGTGAGCGGAGGAGGTAAGGAGTAAATGATAGATGGAGATGGAGCCCAAAGAGAGAGAAGAATAGTTGGACAGACAAAGCAGTGGATGATAATCAGCCTGGGAGAATGAAAAGCTATGAATGGGGACTATTAGTGGCTAACAATAGCCTGTGTATAATAGCAGCCCATGTGATACCAAGGCCTGGTGTGTGGGGAATGGGATAAGGTCATGGGAGAAGGTGCCTCAAACCCTAAAATTGTTGAACTTCAGAGGCTGTAGAGATTTCAAGCAGAAAGTGAAGTGCTGTTTATAGAATCCCTATGGTGTGGAAGCAGATCATTCAGCCCATCAGTTCCACACCAACCCTCTGAAGGGCATCTCACCCAAACCCACCCCATAACCCTGTATTTCTCATGGCTAATTCACCTCCCCTGCACATCCCTGGACACTATGGGCAATTTCCCATGACCAATCAACTTAACCTGCACAGGCATGGTGGCTGAGATAACAAGGTGTAGAGCTGGATGAACACAGCAGGCCAAGCAGCATCAGAGGAGCAGAAGC